TGAATTTATTAGTTTCCAAAATCCATCTCCGGAAGGCTGTAATAAAATTAATGTTTAGGTAACTTATTGAAGATTGTAGTTTGGGATTTCTTTAATTGTCATTATTGGAGTAAATCGTACACTTAGGTTACTAATGGGCAGTTGTAACTTCAGTAATAACTGCCGTGAAGTGTTTTCCGCATGTGTACGTTATTATGTATTATTTTTATTATATTCGTTAGATATAACGAGCACGGAATCATTATTTATCAGATGCAAACTGTAAAGGGGCGGTACATCTATAATAAGAAAACCGTTCACTTTATACGTGTTACGCAGCTGTTGACCAAGTATGCAGAGGACTCGCAAGTTCAGAACTTTGTGGATCAGATTGAGTGGCACATCTTGCCTGTCGTCAACCCAGATGGATATGAATACTCTCACACACACGTAATTATTAAAATCAACATTTAGTCTTTCAATCGTTTAATCTTAATCTTTTATCATGCAATCATTTGCAACGTCGTGACTGCAATATCGTGAACGTGGTCAACATTCATCTCACTACTGCGCACTGTGATATTCGTCTCAATGAATGTTAGCGGCAGCACTAGAATAGAGGGATCTCTCTATTCATGTACTCCTAATGTTACGGGAGTCCGTGCATCAGAAGATTTAGTGTTTTTGTTTTCTTTAAAACAGGATCGGATGTGGCGGAAATCTCGGTCTGGGCCAATTAATGGCTGCTATGGTGCGGATGTCAATCGAAACTTCGATTTCAAGTGGATGGGTAATTATTACTCTAGGACAATGAATTTTGGTAATGTTTTTTTAGCTTTGTATCGTGATGAATTGGCGTCATACGCGAAAACATTGTCCTAGAGAATTTCTTTCTCGTTAATACATGTCTTTATTCAGACGCACATTAATCGAATTTCCTTTCCAATTAATGTTCATTATTTATTTCAAAGTGTTTTACCGATGTATTCGTCGAAATCTTATTGCAAACGTTTGCTTTCCGTTCTATTTTAGAGATCGGTGCCAGCAGTGATCCCTGCTCTAGTACTTTTGCTGGCACAACGCCAGCTTCCGAGATCGAGACGAGGAATTTACGTGATTACGTACTGCCTCTAGCCAACGATATGAAAGCTTTCATCACTATGCACTCGTACTCGCAGCTATGGCTTACTCCGTGGGGCTACACCTCAGAACTACCGTCGGACTACGATGATTTGGTACTTTAATTACACTATCGCCGAACCATTCCAAAAGCCGCTAATACAATCAAGAGTGTATAATATAGACTGTAGTCTATATAATATTCTCTATATAATTTAGTCTATATCATACACTCCTGATACAATGATGTGTTGCCGACATAAAGTCTAGCTGTTGTCCTAAAGCTTTACCCCAACCCGTTGTAAGAAGAAATCGCAACTCACGGCAATTCTGAAACGTTACATATTTATAGATAAAGCTGCAAAAGATCTGTGAGCGTACGTTAACAACAATACTCTCGCCATGCGCAAGGATAATATCTGCCGTTATTAGATTTCGCGTATCGGAATCAATTCATTTATACATAAACACAGACTCATTCAGTCAGCATCGTGGTGTTCCCTATTCACTGATCTATTTGGCTTTCATATGCCTGATTTTATTCACAGTATAACCTTGCTGTGAAGGCAACAGACACTTTGACATCGATGTATGGAACGGAATACACCGTAGGATCAGCAGCAAATGTTCTGTGTACGTGTACACATCAATTTCCCGATATCCTATGCTTCTATTTGTAGTAATTTATTGTATTTTTTAGTATGACTTAGGGGTGAGGGCAACAAATGCATTGACGGCAATACATGGTACAGGGTACGAAGTCGGATCGTCCGCTAATGTCTTGTGTATGTAGACAAACCATTACGCAATGTTCCACGATATTTTGGGCTAATGAAAATTTTTTGGTTAACTGTATTTGATTTCCTCAGATGTCTATTGTAAAGGCATGAACTCGTTTTTCAATTGCGCATGATGCAATACGTGGATGCAAGCTGGCTTTAAGCTAAATGTATTTACTTCATGGGAAAATTTGGCTTTTTGAAAAATTGAAAGTTATCTCACGGTGGGCTTTAGAAATTTTATCTTATTAACTGCATATCAACTGATTCTCTTCATTTGCATAGACGATCGTGAGTAATCGTTATACTGATGAATATATAACATAATGAAACTGCGCGTAAGGTTTTATGTGCATAACTAACTATAAATTTGCCTGTATCTTTTATTTACGAGTAAAGCTCTACTCATAATAATGTCATTGCAGATGAATCTTCCGGGACATCGCGCGACTGGGCTAAGGGCGTGCCAAAAGTGAAGTACGTTTACACTGTGGAGTTACGTGATACTGGCTACTACGGTTTTCTGCTCCCAGAAGATCAGATTGAACCGACGTCTGAAGAAACATGGGAAGCTATTAAGGTTATCGCAAGTCAGATCATTTTAGAGTTTGCATAGAATAGTAATTGGGGTTTGGTGAGATTGCTTGCATATATCCAATCCCAGTGACGACCCTGGTACATTGGGAGCATATAAAAGAATACTAAATGATATTGACGTATAGATAATGTGATAATTTTGGTGCGATCGCGGGATACATATCATAGGGAAAGCTAAAGAAATAATAAATAGCACGGCGTCAATTAACTGATAATGGCCACTGTATTACTAGGACGTTTTCCACTGAATTTGATATATTGTTCACTTAGCAACTTTGTCAGCTCTTCGTCGAAATATCTAATGCCGTATTCGTTTATTTCATTGTCAGCGATAAAAATATTTCACGCGTTTCATATACATAAGAACTAAAACAATGACCTAACTTCTCTAGAAAATCTCATTTTTGTCGCAATGGTTTCACATATATCTAAGGTAGTTGTCCCGTAATTGGGCATTAGTAAATTAATGTTCATAACGCAGTTAATCATGGAATATATTCTTGGTTTTTTTTTATGACAAAATAAACGTTTCCTTTGAATCACATTTAACACAGAATGTTCTCATATTTGTAGCTATGACTCTGATGTACTTGTTGTGAAAATCGTTGACGCAAACTTTCACCACTAAACACCTAGATGAATTGCCAGAGTTAATACCTGCTCTCTTCATTTATAATTTTACATGGAAAAGTACAACCAGATTGTTCTGGGACACACGGTTCACGCATTATCAAAGTTAAAATTAAAAGAAATTGAAGTAATATAATTAAAAGTAGCTTCAAAATTGTGAGTAATAATAAATAATTTGTGAGCATATATTGGCGTGTATAGTTTTTTGATGTCGTAGCTAATCCCCACGATAGATGTCGCTGAATATATATATATATATATATATATATATATATGTGTGTGTGTGTGTGTGTGTGTGTGTGTGTGTGTGTGTGTGTGTGTGTGTGTGTGTGTGTGTGTGTGTGTCGTGGCGTGCGCGCGTGGCGTGCGTGCGTATGTGTGCGTGTGCGTGTGCGTGTGCGTGTGCGTGTGCGTGTGCGTGTGCGTGTGCGTGTGCGTGTGCGTGTGCGTGGTGCGTGTGCGTGTGCGTCGTGGCGTGTGCGTGTGCTGCGTGTGCGCGCGCGCGTGCCCGCGCGCGTGTGTGTGTGTTCGTGTGTGTGTGTGTGTTTGTGTGTGTCTTAACTGAATCGTCTGGCCGAGATCAGAATATAGCCTCGCTTACATCAATGTAGCCATACTCTCCAGAGATCCGGAGACAGAATACAGACCCGAATATCATAGTTGGTCTATATCCTTAATTCGATCGCTAGATTCCCCGCCAAGAATTCTGTCGCAACAGCACGTTCCACATACACGGAAACACGACAAGCGTAACGTGACGAGATCCGACAGAGACCGATAGTTTTTTTAGGTATCGAGACGAATCTTGGAATCAAATATTCAGTAAATTTAAGCTCCCATTAGCAGATACACAATCGGAAAGTGGAGACGAATAGGAAATCCAGTCGCAAGTATCAAAACCGCCGCCATATTAAGCTATCGTTAATCACCTACGGGTCGTCCGTAAGAAATGTGGTTATTCCAGGATGCGTGATTCGGTGTGCTTGCGTTGTGCAAACATCTAGCAGAATGCATGATTCTTAATGGCTTAAGATTGCTCCTAATATAACGTCGCGACTAAGCGTTGCGCTACAAACTCCACTTTAGCCCTGTAAATCAATAGAGCAATCATTAATCTCACGTACCAGATGGCCGGTGACATATGGCGTTTCCTAAAGATAAATATACACATAAAAGTCTTTATCGTGCGATGTCAAACTATTTTATCAAGTCCGTGAACGTATTGTTTTATTATAAGAACCCATATGTAAAGTTCACATCATACTATCACGAACGTTTCCGCGCATGTTTGTCTATCTGTTCGTAATCCGCAACCAAGGCTGCGTATTGTTGATGTCATTGAACGAAATTGGTTATTATACCTGTTTAGTCTGTACAATTATTACTTTTATGCAATTGATATAGGTATTTACTTTTTTTAGTTTTCGCATGTTTGATTGCTTTTATATTATGTCCATGTAACAGTTATAAAAATGTGTAACTATCGCATATGATATGTGCATTTAGAACGTTCAGCCACCTGTACTAAACAAGCTACAAACATTTCACTACTATGAGACAACTATAGGACATGAATACAGCACAGATATACATAACAGTGTACATTCGTGTTTAAGAATCAATAATTTATGAGCCACCTCTCTGAAATCATGAAATATTGCATGATCTTATTCGATAATTTTTTATATCTATGTCTATAATATCACAACATAATTTCATTTGGTAAGCCTAATTAAAAAATATCAGAAGCTGAAATAAACAGCAAGTATACGGATGAGAAACACGCGCATGCGCAATTCATTTACGTTAATGAAGAATAATTTGTGAAAGGGTCGAGAGGCCGAGGCGAGGCAGAGGCCGGGGAGGGGCGGGGTTTTATGAGGTTTACCC